AGTGGCCTACCTTCTCCAACCGGGCAGCTTCTCCTAGTGTCACATTTATTTGTTTATTTATTTATTTTTCATTTTATGTATTTGGTACAGGGTCTCACTTCACAGCTCGGACTCATAGTGATCCTCCTGTTTTTAGCCTCCCCAACCTGGGATTACAAGCATGTGCCACCATGCCAGACTCGGTCGCCAGCTCAGTGCGCCCTGGAGGTGGGGCCAGCATGGCATGCAGGATTGGGGATCGAACCCTGGTCCCTGAGCTTGCCAAAGCCAGCACTTAGTCCGCTGAGCTATCTTGCCAGCCCCTGGCTTCACATTTAGCTATAAACTCATCAGTGGACTGATCCGTTGATGTGGACTAACCTATGGAGTAGCATCACGGCCCCATGATCCAGTCACCTCCCCAAAGCCCCGGCTATGAGAGCATGTGGCTTTGGGGGGACATCTAGATATAAACCATAAGAACCAGGAAGGTGTTTCAGTAGATGTGGTAAGAAGTGGTAAGATTCTGGATAGATCTGGAAAAGATGACAGTGTAAATGTAGGAGAGAGCATGACAGAAAGGAGTCAAAAAGAATGGCAAGAATTTTGACCTGAACAACTAGCAGGATGCAGTTGCTAGGTGCTGAGATGAGGGTCACTTCAGAGGAGCAGTCTGAGTAGGAAGATCAAGTGTGAAGGTGGATCGAGGTCTGAGATGCCTGGCGGACGTCCAAGGCAGATACACATCCAGAGGTTCAGAGATGTTTGAGCTGGAAATGTGTGCAGCAGAGTCATCAGCACACAGTGACCTCTTTAAAGCACACAAACTAGACAATGGCTGTGGGATAAATACAGAAAAAAGGAAGAATTCTGAGGACTGCAGTTTACAACTCGCCAGTGTTTGGAGGTCGAGGCAATGAGGAGGAACCAGCCAATGAATGGCCGGCACAGTGAAGCATGTAAATCCGGACAAATGACTCGCAGAGGACATGTAACAGCCTGCACTTAAGTAGTGCTGTGTACCACACATTCCTTTTATTCTACCGAAACACATTGAAAACTCCTTATCCGTTTCACATCTCTGATGCCCATCAGTAATTCATAAGAAAAGGTGTTGGGAGAATCTGTTACTTACTTCCTGAATCTACGTTTATTTTTTATTTTTATTTTTTAAAACATCTCTTTTCTTTTTTTTTTTTAAATTTTATTTGTGTGTGTGTGTGGGGGGGGGGCAGCTCAGCCCACCAGGGGGCAGGGCTGGCTGGCATGTGGTGCTGGGGGATTGAACCGCGGTCCCTGTGCTTTGCTAAGCTTGTTCTAAGTAGGTGCTTTAGACCACTGAGCCATCTCACCAGCCCCTGAATCTACATTTAAACTAAAAAAACAAACAAACAAAAAGACAAAAACTTGAATTTGATTATTTAGTTTAATTACTTACCAGGAAGAATAAGGCTATCAGCTTGAGTATGACACTTATGAAAGTAGAACATTTGCCAATATCATTAAAGTCTTCTAGAATTACATCCATCGGATAGGATTCATCTAATAATTATTTAATAATATCTAATAATTATTTGGGAGAAAATAAAGAGACAGTGTTAGGAACAAGTAAAGAACAAAAGTGAAATGTGCTGAAAATATATTAGCTTAATTAAAGGGAAAGTTAAAGCAAAGTCCTGAAAGGAAATTACAATGATCATTGTTAGGAAGTTACTGCTAAAAGGTCAACTATACTGCTTGATTTAAGTCTTTTCTCCTGCTGGTCTTTGGGGGCAAAAAATGCTGCAAAAATTTCCTAAACATGGCAAGAAGGAAATTGGCTAAATAGAGTGGAAGATAAAAATGTTGATAAGAATGGTGGCATGTGGTGCCACACACCTGAGATCCCAGGACTTGGGAGGCTGAGTCAGGATGAAAGCTGTGAGTTCAAAATGAGCCTAAATTATATAGAAAGACCTTGTCTCGGGCTGGGGAGATGGTTCAGTGGAATAAGCACTTCCCTGGCAAGCGCAAAAGCCTGAGTTCAATCCCCAGTTCTGACAAAAATTTAAAAAAAAAGAAAAAAAGAAAAAGAAAAACCTTGTCTCAAAATAAAAAAATAAAGAAAAGACAAAGAAGCAAATTAAACCATTATATATAACCTATCCTTCTTGGGGGAAGGACTGATGGGAAACAAACTCAGGACCTTCCCACTGAGCTGTCTTTTTTATTTTTAAGACCCGGTCTTGCTAAATTGTTAAGTAATTCAGGCTGGGCTAGAATTTGCAATCTTCCTGCCTTAGAGTGCCAGAGTGCTGGAATTATAAGAATGTGCCACCACACGTGGCTAAAATATCTTAACTTTAAAAAATAAAAATGCAAAAGACAAATAATTTCAATACCTATACTTAAAAAGTTAATGGGATAACAATAGGTGATTTTAATTTTCTTAATGCTTTAAAATGGTGGCTGAGGCAGAAGAATCCCTGAGTTCAAGGCCAGCATGGGTTATACTGTTGCATTCAAGGTCACCTTGAACTATATATTGAGACCCTGTCTCAAAAAACCCCAAAATCCACAAACAAACAAACAAACAAGGGGCCATGGAGATGGCTCAGTAGAATAAGCTCTTCCCTAGCAAGCGCAAGGGTCTGAGTTCAATCCTGGTTCTGGAAAAAAAAAAAAATCAAATGTTTCCAGAGTTTCTATGATTAATATTTTTGTAAGAAAACAAAAGGTTGGGAGTTGCTGAAAGACTGGTAGATGTCAAAGCCCAGTGAATGAAATCGAAGCAATTTCATCAAGCATTCTATTCAGAAGCTAAGGGCTACCGGGTATATCTCTATAAGGCACATGAAGGACTTTGGTTTGATTTGTTATAAAATCAATACGGAGAAAAGTAGTTTTAATAGACCTGGTTAAAAGCCAATATAATAAAATATTAACATAACATTGATATATTATTAAATTGGCAAAAAAAAGCTTAAAATTTAAGAGCAAATACTTGAAAGGATATGGCTATACATAGTCTTATGTGCTAAATTGTTATTTATATTTATCTATATTAGGTAGTGCTATGTTTTAGCACAACTCTAGTTATTTGTGGCTTTTCTTGGAGAAGGGGATCTTGCTCCGCAGTCCAGTTTGGCTTGAGCTCACCATCTAGCCTCCGGCTGTCCTTGAATACACAATTTTCTTGCTCACCCTCCCACATGCTGGGAATTCAGGTATGCCCACCATATCTGGCTGCACAACACTTTTTGAATGCAATTTAGCAACACATGAAGTATCATAAAATGTACATACTGAAAATAATATAGGCATTGTGGAAGTTCATCAGCTCCTTAGAAAACTAGCATGTGACAACCCTATGAATCCCAAGAATTGCACTCCAGGCAATTATTCCAGATAAATACTTATTTTCACACAAAATCTGCACATTTGCTCAAGTTTGTGCATAGCAGCTCCAAATGAGACAACCTAGTGTCCTTCAAGGGAAGAGTGGCAAAGCCTACCATAGATATGTAGCAATAAAAAGGAACTACTGATATGTGCGACAATTTGCGTAATCTCCAAGAAATTATGCCGAGATCCTAAGAAGTCATGTATGTGATTCCACTGCCAGAACACTTTTGACAGAACAGATTGGCAGTGGCAGGGGCAGGCAGGGCTGAGGGCGTCTGGACCTAAAAGGCCAACCATAGGAATCTTTGTGGTGATCAAAATGTCTAGATTGTAAAAATGTCGATGTGCTGGTTGTGATGTGTATAGTTTTACATGTTACTATTTCAGGAACGTCCAAAACTTGAGATCTCTCTACATTATATCTTAAGAATGATAGGTACAGGGTCCGGGATGTAGCTGAGGGGTACAGCACCTGCCTGGCAAGTGCTATTTCTACTGCCAAAAAAGTTATATGTGCAATGATCTCAAAATAAATTTATTTTTTTAGAAAAATGTAAGTCTTTTTTTTTTTTTCGCGGTACCGGGGATTGAACTCAGGATCTTGCACTTGCTTATTCTACCGAGATATCATCCCGGCCCCTTAAATTTTCTTTTGGTTAACTACCCACCCCAAGTCTGGAAATCTGTCCTAGGGATATAAAGAAAAAGAAGAAAAAAAAAGTTGAATATGCTAGATGTTCACTGCAGTATTGTTTATTATTTACAACAGGGAAAAGAAATGGTCTAAGGGTCAAAACAGGGAAACGGGTAATCGTGACCCAGTCGAGGATTAGTCAGTTGATGCAGCAATAAAGAAATGTTCTTTGAAAGAGGAGAACCCAAAATTGTGGCACAATATGAAGCGGGCTGGGTATATTACAAAACTTTTAATAGTAGTTCTCTACAAAATTCTAGAGAAATGGTTTCCTTCCCCGCAAACTCGTACGTAAGGTTTCTACGTGGTTTTTACATGCCTTGGGAATGGCAGGGGAAAACATCAAAGGACAACTGCAAACATCAGGGCCCAATAAAAAGTTCTTTCAGTTTGTCCTTCCAGTAGTAGCGCACAATTTCCCCTTCCAGGTTTTGACCAAAGATGCACACAGGGGCCCCCAAAGAGTCGAGCCCAGAGTGGGTGGGATTAGGCACCGGCCGCCCCTACTGCCCCACTCCAAAACCTCATCCAGAGAAGAGGAATGAGGGTCAGGCTGCTGCCCCGAGGCAATGACCACTCCAAGGTCACGAGCCTTGAGGGCTCAGGCTGGGCCTGGGCTCTCCAGCTGATTCGGGTCGCGTTCTCGGCCCCACGCCATTCGCCCCATCCAGACCCACGACCCCACAAGCTTCCTGAGGCTCGGCGGCGGCGACTCCCACATTGTAGGGTGGTGACTGCCAAGGTCCCGCCCCAAGCTCACTTCCATTGCACCTTATGCAGGATCAAATACCCGCACACATCTCACCTTTTTTTCGCCCTCTCAACCCAGCTTTTCCCGACTCCGGGAAGAACCGGGAAGAGAAGGCGAGGGGCAGCGAGGCGCCGCCTGATAAATACCATGGCCCGGTCCCGCCCTAAAACGTCACTTCCGCCCGGCGGCAACATGGCGGCGCCCACTGCTTGCCACGCAGACTTCCGCCCGGCGCCGAGACTGAAGGCTGCTGGGGAGTCGCGTCGGCCGTGAAGTGACGCGCGGTGTGGCGCTGCGGCCCGTTTGCATCTCAACCTCGATCCTGGCTGAGAGGCTTGAAGAGAGGGTGGGTGGCAAGAGAAGGGCTCTAGTCGGGGTGATCTGGGAGCCTTGCCACGTGAGAGGGGTGGGGCTGAAGCGCGGCGGGAGCGACGCGCTGCCGGGGAGGGGGCGATAGCCACGTGGGTGGGGTTCCGCTGGGAGCTGGAGTGTCGGTCCCTTGGAGTGACTTGGTTGTCTGTCTTTTCCCAGGCGACATGTCAGAAGGAAATGCGGCTGGCGAGTCCAGCACTCCAGGAGGGCCACGGCCCCTCCTGACTGGATCCCGGGGACTCATCGGGCGGCGACCCTCAGCCCCTCTCCCTCCGGGCCGCCTTCCCTCCATGCGTTCCAGGGACCTCACCCTCGGGGGAGTCAAGAAGGTACCTGACAGCGCATCAACTACCTCGAATTCCAGACCCCTCCGATTCAGCTCCCGTACTTTCAGGCTTAGGTGTGCCACTTAACTTTGTCCCCAGATTTACACCACCCCCCTCAGATGCCAGGGACCCTAGCCTACTTTCAAGTCTAGATACTGGGCTACTGGGCACAAACTGTTCAGGTGGTTCAGAGATAGTTGAAGGGCAGCGATTCTAATTAGCTCAAGACTTTTACCCGGGCTGGCCTTGACTTACTT